AAAACCTTTGACACATTCAAAATCGCTTTTAAAAGACGTTCTGTATTCTGGGAGGTCTGAGTGCTTCACCCATGAACATGAGCCTCTGAAGTTGGCAGGGGAAAGAACGCTTTGCAGATGGGGGATGCGCGGAAGAAGGAGCTGAGCTGACGTTGGCAACCACCACGGGGAGAATACGAGGCAGGCAGGGGCTGCCACGCCTCAGGCCTGGAAAGGTTCTTAAATGCGCATAGAAAGAACCTGAAAAGCTGCCTGTGAGCTTCCACCTGCCCCGGGGGGGCTTCCTCATCAGCATTCTAAGCCTGGCCTCAGAAAGCTGGGGAGAGAAATCGTGCAAGCACAGGAAAATAGACAAATTTCTTTCCTTCAAGCCTAATCTGATGATTTAAATCTATCTATCCTAATGCCTCTCAGGCGTTCTAACCACCTTATGCCTTTTTAAGAGCTTTTCTGCAGGGAGTTAACACTAGCAGCTTCTCTTCTGATTAAACACATCTGCCACAAAATACCAGGTACCTTCTGGACACAATGAAATTCTCAGAACTTCTAATAGAAAATTTGCAAAAGGTTTTGTGTGCTGGTGGGTTTAAAACGTATCACAAGTTTTCTCAGACTTTGGAGAAACTGGGGGCAACATCTGTTTAGGATTTAATGTCCTTTAAACAAAGGCGTCAGAAAATGTTCACAGGGTGAAATTACAGGTTAAAACATAAATTAAAGAATTAAACTACCGAGGTGAAAGGTTACGTTTTCAAAGAAAATTAAAATCATGACTATCAACAACACAAAAATGATCACGTTTTAAGATTTTACTTAACTCATTAATGAGAAAAGTGATAAGATGTTAACACCAGTTCAAAGTAGGATCCGAACAGCAGGCATAGTTACAGATCAGGGAGACCGAGAAATGAATGCATAAATGGAAGGCAAAACTCGCCTCTCCACAGTAGCCAGGGGAGTCACCTGAAACTCAGCGTGACAGAATTTACATGTCTACAACACGAATTATTTCGTATTGCTATCCGCTTACAGAGCTGTAAACCAACTCTGCAGACGCAGAGTGCGATAACCCAAAGCAGCGTGCTGTTGACGATGCGCAGTGTTCCACGGACGCGCACATTTTTACCTACACAGATGTTGACAGTCTTATTTATTGCTATACTCCCCAAACCCGGTGCCAGGTAGATGCTTCATAAATACTTGCTAAGTGGATAAATGTCTACTATGCACTAAGCGAGGCCCTTCACATGCATCATCCCATTCAGTCTTCCCGGTAACACTTGAAGATAAATATTATTGTCCTTTCACTGATGAGAAGCTTGTGCGTACAGCTATCATGTGTCCAAAGTTGGGGATGGAGGACAAGGTGGGAGCATTCGCCCCAGGCCTGTCATCAGAAAGCCCATGCCTTCTTCCTTCCCGCGTAATATAGAGCATCTTCTTTCTTACTCACATTCGCTGTACCGTCTGCCTCTAAATTAAGGGATTGTTTCTATGTTACACTGATATACCAGGCCTCCTTCATGAGCATGATACTTGAGACCCCTGCTATAAGGAGAGTCAAAGAACAGCAGTGCCCAGGAGAATCTAAGCACAAGAGATGCAGGGACATCTTTTTTTTTTTTTTTTAAATATATCTTTATTGATTTCAGAGAGAGGAAGGGAGAGGGAGAGAGAGAGAGACATCAATGATGAGAGAGTCACTGATTAGCTGCCTCCTGCATGCCCCCAGCTGGGGATCGAGCCCACAACACGGGCATGTGCCCTGACCAGGAATCGAACCCCGACTGCCTGGATCCTAGATCAACGCTCAACCGCTGAGCCAGGCCCGGCCAGGCCGCAGGAACATCTTTATTGCAGCCTTGCAGACAAGCACGGCGTGTTTACTAGCCCAGATTATTTCCCTCCCTGCTTAGGTGCTCATTTCCCAATTGTCATGAAAATAAAGATAGACGGATTAAACACTGTTTATATGTGTTGTCTGTTTTCGGAGAAATCAGGACAGCAGCTCAGGGAACAGCAGCAGCTAAGGTTCATTGCATGCTTACTACGACCGCGAACGACTGTCCCATCAACACCATCCAGGGCAGACTATCCTCACCCCCTCTTTCCAGCCCCAGAAAGCTGAAGTGCATCAAGTAACCTTCACAAAAATCACACAGCTCGGTTGCCGCATCCACTGCTCTGACATTTCCCTAAGTCACTCTTCTGTCTGCAGAGGCTGTTGAGCTGGGCTCTGTCCCCACGCCCTGGTATTTTATATGCCTCTTTGCTTTGTTGGTTACAGCTGCAAAGGGCACTAGGATGCCCACGGCTTCCAGCATCACAGAGCTGGTAACCGCAGGCTGGCCTATGTTCTGAAAGCTATTTTCTGGCCACTTGGCACTCGTGATCATGTGGGAATTTTACATTCTATCCCGGGCCAGAGAACAGGGGAAGAGAGTGGTCTTCTGAGGCCTCGAATAGGTGAGTGTCGAGAAAAAAGTGGACCAAATGTTAATCTGAAGTCATTCTCTCTGATCCCTAAGTCCCCAAATAATTCCCTGCTTTCTTTTCTTGCCAGAAAACAGGCTGCCCTTAGAATGAAGTCATCGTGTGTTTTTAGACACCTCCCGACGAGTCTCGACATGAATAACAGTGCGATGCCGGCACACAAAAGGTGTCAATAAATGGCCGACTTAGTACTATACTGATATTTATGCATTTAATTTTCACAACGACGCTCTGAGACGGGTACTATTATCATCTCTGTCTTTGGAGATGAGGCAGTGGGGTTAAATAACTTGCTCAGAATCCCTGCCAGGATCTTGCCCAAGGTCCCAAAGAGGCTGTAATTTACTGATGCCGGCAGTGCTCCCTGGAGACCAAGGGTGTCACCGAAAGCAGTAAGGCAGCTGTCTGAAACACGTGTCTCCTTCCCGCACCCCTGAACCTCGTGCCACTCAGTAGAAAGCCTTGCGAAGTGGGACCATTTGCTCCACAAGCATTGAAGCATGAGATCCTCATTTGCGAGGAGCCAAATGCTCATCTTCTTCAAACCATTATAAATGCTCACCCTTCCCTCAAGGGCACCTCATAATTCTCACCCTTAATGAGAGATAACACTACTTTCAAATAAGATCACCAAAAAGGCTTCGCCCTCACGATCACAGGCATTAAGAAACATTAGCGGACACTACCTGATGAAGGCTACCATAATCAGCCAAATGGTTCCTGACTGATGGATCACTTCCAGGGGTGGAATAACTGACCTTACACGGGACTCTTAAGGGAGGGAACTAAGAAGTAAAATCTAACAGCTGGCATCTAAGCGAAGTCCCAACTCTGCCCTCAGGATTTCAGGAATTTTATCCAAATGGGCCATTACCTCCGGTTGAGGGGAGAGAGGAAGTGAATTAAGGACCTTTTTTATACTGAAGTTAGGAGTACTTCATGCTCTGTTAACTCAGCTCGAGCTACACTTGGGTGTGTTCCTTATATACTTAAACGTTATCAAGGTGCTCAGCAGGGCTCCATGATAATCCAGCTTAGTGATTTTTAAGCCTGAGGGTTATTCCAAATCAAGCTTTCTATGTAATCCAAATATATAAAACAGACAAAGGGAGCTGCTTTGGTTGACAAACCCACCTCTACCCACAGCACACTCCTTGTCCCCTGGGCAGCCTCGAGTGTACCCAAGGGCTCCATCCACGGAGCACACTTTGAAACCACCCATCATGTCCTCTCAAAGTTACAGGGCAAACACTGAACTGCAAAAATAAATGCTTTCTGCTTAATACACCCCTTTCCAAAGAAACAGGAGTAAATGGACTCTACAGAGAGAGGTTAGGATTTCAGAAGACAGAGCATGAGTTTGGAAAGAGGCGTGGCAGCTAGAGTGCTGAGCTCCTCCAGGGCAAGTTGCTTTCCCACTAGAGTATCAGTTTTCTCTTAGTAAAGAGGAAAACTCTACACTAGAATCAGAACCTTCTTTTCATGTTTGTCAATCCTCACCCAAGGGTATTTTTTCTATTGCTCTTCAAAGAGAGTGGAAGGGGGAGAGAGAGAGAGAGAAACATGGATGTGAGAGAGACACATCGATTGGCTGCCTTCTGCATGCACCCTGACTAGGGCAGAGTCTGCAACCGAGGCATGTGACCTTGGCCATAATCGAACCCAGGACCCTTTGGTCCTAGGGCCAACACTCTAATCACTGAGCCAAAGTGGTTAGGGCTAAAATCAGAACTTTCTTTTTTTTCCCTCCCTCCTGAAGCACAGTTTTGGTGCACAGAGCATACTGCTCAGTCCTATCTCTGACCATGGTGTTCACAAAGGGGGAGAGAGGGAATACGGCAGCCATGGAAAGCAGACTCTCTGGGTGGCAGAGCAGGTGAGGTCTTCAAAAGACCCCATTATTCTGATGGGCTCCCACGGTGGGCCTCTGCTCTCCCCCTTGCCCACTCCATTCTCCAACTGAGAGATGCAATCTGAGGGCTTTTACAGTTCATGACACTGTCAAATTTTCTGCTTCCAAGCGCTGCTTGACCACCACATATATTTCTCCAAGGACCCTGATCTAAGTGGAGTCTTAACTTGCGCTTTGAAGGTATTCATCTCAGGGGTAGTGAGCTAGTGTTATTCTACTCACTTCAGAATTTTCCTACTTAGAAATCTTTTCTACTTAGAATATCTACCTATTGATCCTGTAACCAAATTGATTTGAAAGACTTCCTCCCTTTCTTTTCTCTAGGCTTGTTTTCATTTTCTCTAGAGTCCCCCAATCCCTTATCCTGATTTCCACATATTTTTATATTGGACACTTGAAATCCACGGTTCTCTATAATGACGTCTTAGGCTTGTTAAGTAGCATGGCTCCCACGGATCAGGAATTGATCGCCCCTTTTAAAGGAAACCCACCCCAGAAAATTTCGGCAGGAAGATGCCGTCCCATTGCAAGGGTGTGGGAAAGGCCATGGCGAAGGGGAGAGGGAGTGAAATATTTTGGCTACTGCCTACTTTACCAGTTATGTCATGCTGTCTGAATGACTCGCTGTAGATCTGATACTGATGAGGACAATGTTTCTTCAACCATTTGCAGACATCCTGCTGAGTCCACAGAGCCACTGGTTTTGACAGCTTCACTGTAGCCGACTGCACATAAAGAAGCAAAAGAAAGTCTGTTAATGCCAACCCCATGCCTAGAAAGGCGCTGCTACTAGAAGTCCCAGAGTGCGGTAAAGGCTGCAGGCTGGGCTCCCCAGAGATAAATATCTGGCTGTTGTCTTCCTAACCTCAGCAGACCTTCTCCATACCCCTGAAAACCAGAAAGAAAAGCTCCAGGCAGAGAAGCCCATGAAAATGACATCTGTCCTCAAGTTATCATCTCAACTGGGGAAAATCTCCAGGAAGTACTGTTTTCTGATGAGTAATCCAACAACAAGACAATGGTGTTGCTAAGCAATTAATTAAACTTTAGGGGGAAAATAGCTGCCTCCAAGTGGCCTTTGTCTGTATTCCAAGAAAGTGTATACCGTTTGTCCTCTGATATCTCCAGGGCCTACTACAACACTGTTCCTGGCAGATGCTAATAATTATCTTTAAAATGAATGTTGCAGGACTTAGATACTGCATACTAAAAAGTGCAAGTCGGCCTGGGAGCTCTGGACTAAGGGCGGGTCTAGAAAGTCTAGGAACATTAGTTATGCCACAGCGGGGAAGCAAGAAGTCAATTCCACCAGCTTGTGGGGAATGGTAATGAGATAATGGGGGTAGCTGGGCCTTGTCTGGAAGCCAACTAGCCAAGCCCTTTATTACTCACTGGATCTTTCAAGGAGGTGCTTAGAAAACCACACCAAACAGGTACAAGGACCCTCAGAGGCTATGGCAGATAGCAGGTTATAAATACATCTGTAAATTAACAACAATTAACTGTGCTAGAGGCTGGTCTACCTCATGAAGCCCAGGAACTTGCTTGAACCTAGATAAAAGCTTAGCTACCTATCATTTTTATCATCGGGATCAGTGTTTGCCAACAAAATAGGATTATAATATTGATAGTTCTTTAAAAGATGTTGGGAGGCATACAAACCTGACCATAAATACTACTGACCTTCTCACTAAGAATCGTTTGCTTTCACTTCTCTTTCAGTCTTTCAGAGTAAGTCAAGGGGAGAGCCTCAATTTTGTAAGAGTATGATTTAACATCTTTCTAATACTTGCCAGCATGTTTTTTGACAAAGAGGGGGTCCCTTCAGCCTCAGCTCCTTCAACAGGCGGCAGTATATTTAAAGACCAATAACTGTTCTGTTTTACTTTTATTATATTTAAGGTTGCTTTTATTTTATGGCAAGTAAATCATGGCAAAAAGGAAATCTTAGTTTTAGTAGTACTATCTAGTTGGCTTTTACAAAAAATTTGAGTAAAAAAACCCAGTAGGTCAATTTTAAGGAAAAAATTAAGGAAACAATAGTACAAATAATAAGATAATAGTAAAAATAGTGGGGGTGATCCAAGTTTAGAAAACTTAGTGCTCAGGTGTTTTTTTCATCAGTACATTTTCAGTTGTATGATTCTTTGTGCCATCCTTTACAAAATAATCACAAAAACATTTATCACTTCTTAGTTTGTGCTGTGGTAATTTATTTCTTCCACTTTTATTAAATCTATATTAAACATATAGATTTTATGTATGTACACATATATACACACGTATGTACACATACACCTATATGCTTTTCATTTATTGTGACTGGCATTCCTCCACTGATATTTGGGGTTGTTGTTCTCTCCCTCTGAATTTCTCCAGGGTCCGTGACGGTTCTTGCCAATGGAGTTCAGCAGAATTGAGGCTATCTATGTGACTCTGAGGCTAGGTGGTAAAAAAGATACAGTTTCTGCCTGGCTTACCCTCTCTGGCACTCTTCTTTGGAACCCAGCCACCATATTGTGAGGAAGTCAGACCACATGAAGAGACCATGTGTAGGAGTTTTGGCCAATCACCCAACTAAGGTCTCAGCTGACAGCAACCACCAACACCATCCCTCAAACAAGCTTCAGATGGATTCAGCCACCAGCCTTTGAATCTTCCCACTGAGGCCCCTAGACACCATGATGCAGAGACAAGCTGTCCCTGCTGAGCCCTAAGTGAATTCCTGACCCACATAATCCACGAGCATCATAAACAGTTGTCTTTCACCACTAAATTTTGGGGTAATTTGTTTTGCAAACCTAGTAACTGGAACACTAAGTTATATACTCAGTGAAGACAGAACTGTTACAACAGCTCTCCGGAGTGCCCTGCATGTAATAGATACAGCCACAACGAATAAGTGAATGAATTAATGACATGAGACCGTTCTCACAGAGTCTGGGCTCACAGACCTACTTACTATTTATTCAGCAGTGAATTTCAAGGATGGCCCTTGCTGCCCTCCACCGACTTGTGCCGTGCTCATGTGGGTCCTAGTGAAACTTGGCCTCTTCCTTCAACCCTCCATCCCCGAGTCACAGGCTGCCAGACATTTGCCCTCTGCTTTCCTAATTTTTATGAGCCAGGTGGACCTCTGGCATGGATGGTACAAATGAGTAAATGTTTCGTTGTTCAGTTTTTCCCTTTTTGCCCACCATCGCCTCCTTTCCTTTGCGTGATCAGGACACTAGAATTTTGGCTCTTTTAGCTAGAAATACACTTACCACCACGTTTCACAAGTCAGCACCTCTGACTCTGCCTCTTCCCTGCTCTAAAAATTTCCTCCAGATTAGCTGAATGAGTTCATAGCTGACACATCATTACCCTGCAGCCCCTTGCAAGTTTGCTGCAAGTAAAGCTGATCACATCCCTTGAAGACTCCTACAAGCCAGTCACAGAAAGCTGTGAAATAGGAAGGGAAAGGCAAGAGAGTAAAGCTGCCTAAGCGTCAATACACCAACCTTCCTGGAGGGCCATTCTTTAACTGGCCCATTTCCTGGGAAACAGGGGAGCCTCAGTACCGAGACAAGTCCATTCAGCTGGAGGCCCAGGCGGAGACGAACTCAGCCGTGCCGTCATCTCAGAACTCAGCCTCACCAGCCCACCGTGTAGGCTTCGGTTAGACATTTTCCTCTTCTCCTAAATCCAGGTGTCTGAGCCTAACACTGAAAAAGCTGATTTGTTTTTCATTCAGAATAGACTCCTGCTAAGCGGTCATTTGGTTATCACCTGCTTGAGCAGCAATAAACACAAAGCTTTAGGCAGAGATTTTTAAGGCTGAATGAACCTACAGAGATATGCCTCCATGGAAACTGGTAGAGCAAATAAAATGGGAGGAATAAGGCTTCCTACTATGGACAAGCACTAACATCTCTCCTTAATCAGACAGCGATGCAAGCATGGGCCCCATTTCTTAGCTGACTCTTAGCCTTGGCTTTATTATGCAGCGGTTATCAGTTTGTTCCACATTAGGAGCCGCGGTGACTCCAGCTGCCCCAGTCTGCCTGCCGCTTCTTTCTGGATTCTCGGAGCAGACTTTCATTTGTTCTGCCTGAACTTCTCTTTGTAGCACCCCAGGTGCTCTCAGGACTTCTCCAGTCTATCCTGATGCCACATCCTCAACAGCAACGAAGTTTTGGGGAGTGAAAGTCATAACCTCATTCCTTTAAAGAGCTTAACCTTTATTCCTATGTGCAATTTGAAACACCAAGCATTTGTTCAACTCACATCAAACTATCACATTGTTCCACTGGGTGGTGCAGAGCTGTCGAATCTTAATAGTTCCCTGGTTATTTGAACAGCTCCCCTTTCCTCGGCCACCCAACACTCATACCTCTCTTTGCACCCACAGATGATAATTTTGTCTGATTTGGGCTGTGTGTTTTTTTCCACAATAGGAGCCTAAACCAAAATAATAATGGTTTGTAAAACAAAGAGATAGTATTTCATATTTACTAGAAATAGTAAACTAATAAAAAAAGTCCTGCCCAGAGGCAAATATTAAAAAAACAACATTTGCGCCAGTTCTTTTTCCCCATACTCAGTCTACTACAGCACTCTCTGCATTTATAGCTCTGGAGGCAATTTTGGTTGCTTTTGCTGCCCTGAGAGAGGCTGGAGGCAGTTTGTTATTTTAACCTCTACCTGGTGACACCAAGCAGAACTGCAGGCACTTCCTTTCTGAGCCGGTCCTGGCCGTTCTATAGACAAGCAGAAAGTGCCTTTACTTTCTATTTTACAGGAAGACCTCACTTTATCCAAGACACACATCTTTGAGGGAAAGTTAGTTTGCAAGTTACTTTTTTTTTTTTTTTGCAAATGATTCTATTTTAGACAATAATTTCAGCTATGCTTTATAGTATTTTCTAATTTGTATTTAACTAGAAAGAACTCTTAAGTTTTAATTTCTTTAAGGCAAACTTGAAGCTTTTCTGCTAATAAAATAATTAAATGCTTTAAAGAAGTGTTATGGAAAGAACATACACAAACCACTTCTAAAGTTCAATTTTATTTTGTAATCCAATTACCCCTTATCTGTTTTGCAATATAAATTCCCTTTTAATTTATTAGGTTTTGATGTATAAGGGAATAGTGCAATTTTAAGCTCCTGAGGGCTGTACAAATTCAACTGGGTAAGCTTACAGGAGGCCTAGGGAGCTGACTGTGGAAAAGTAGAGAAAGCAGAGAGTGTTTACACCCACCAGAAGGACAAAGAGAGCTTTATGGCCAAATATCAGGAAGCGGTAAACATATCTGCAGCAGCTCATTTATAAGCAAGTGTTTGCAAGCTCAACACTGCTTCTTCCTTTCCTAATCATCTTGCAATGCTGCTTCTTTAGTGCCCAATCTACTATTTTATTGCCTTTCATTGTGTAATCTTACTAGACTGTGAAGAAAAAAAAGGAGACTGGAGGGGGCGGGGGGAGAGCATACAATGATCCATCAATGTCTATTCTAGCAGGTTTGATGGACTATGATGGAACAGGGGTGTACATGTGTGTGTGTAAGCAACTTTACTTGGATAAATAAAGACTAACTATAAATCCCTTAGTAGAAAAGAATTACTATTATTTTCTTTTCTCTGTTTTTTAGGGGGCAAGGAGGAGGAAGAGACCTGCACGAATTTTGGGAAAACGATGAAGATTCAAGACTCTTCATGAAAATTTGCAGTATCAAAAAAACG